GCTGAGGTGTCCTTGTGGAATGAAATCAGAATGGTACAGGCTTGGGGAGCGGGTTTGGTCTTCTGGGTTTGGCCTGAATTGTGGCTCTCAGTGTCAGGACCTGCAGGTACTTGGCAGGACAGCGTGGCCCTCATTTCTGCCGCAGAGGTGAGAACCACGTTTAAACCAGAAGCACGGCCTAGAGATGGCTTCCTGGCTCAGAGCATGTGATACTCAGCTGGGCACTTGTGATTATCAGTACAGCTTAGGTGACATCGTTATCATGATGAAAAGGTGAGAAGTTTATGAAATAATGGAAAGACAATTGCATGACAGTTGCAGGCACATAATCCAAATCTTACTATAAAAACATCATGAATCAAAAATGTATTTAATAAAAGGAAATTATCCATTAGAAAACATTACCTCCTCACCTTAGAGAAAAAACAGTTCCACCACGAGTAAATGTCAAGATGTAAATCAACCACAAAAAAGAAGGAAAAGAAAAGCTTAGGAGTTGTGAGTCAGTACTTGGCTGATTGGCTAGATAGTTCTCTACGTGCAAAATGTTTTTATGAAGATCACAAAACTAGGTTCATAGATCCAACTGAAAGGCAACTAAAACACTGGAAAAATAGCAGTTCACGGAGCTGTGAGCAAGTCTATGTAGGAGGAAGTTTCTCTTCTGTGGCAAACAAGGAAATATATTTAATTTAAATATTGAAAGATATACTTTACTTGCAGTTTAACAAATAAAAATAGCAGGTGCTTACGAGATTGGTGTGGGCGTGGATTAATTAGTACAGTGCCTGGAGCCTGGTTTGTGGTGAGCTGAAGTCCAGGGGTCTGTCCACAGTGTGTGTGCCCCTGCGCGGGCAGAAGTCACCAGTCACCGGCTCTTCTGCATGGGTCTTCAAGTAAACATTTTGTCTCTATAAATTTTTACTTTTCCATCTCCTATAAAAGATATGAAACTTTAAGTGAATGTCGAATGGGAACCTGGGGAGCCAAGCGCCCCAGCGGCCTCTGCCCGCCCCCCCTCCACGGTCCGGCATTGCCATCTGCTGACCAGAGCCTCCTCAGGGCGGCGGCCGCCCTTCGTGTTTCACAAGGCTGCATTACTTCATTTCTGTTATTCCTCTAGGTTACTTACAGAATTTCAATTTGTTATGTATTACTAATTATATGTATCTTTCATTGAAAAGTTTGCCAACAAATTTTAATTTAAAAATCACCCATGTTTCAAAGCCAGCAGGTCTCCAATTTAAATTTATCTTTTTTGATAATCATCTGCACTACTTGGGCCCACAACATTACACCAGGTTTATTTTACATCATAAAGGGGACCTTCGGGGCTGTTCTGAGAGGTGACTTAGATATTGGTGGTTTTATTGGCTCCAAAGCTTTGTAAAGGACACCTGGCTTCACTCACTGAAGTGGTGCCCACGCCAGGTGTGGTGCAGGCCCCCAGCAGGTCTCCTCTGCAGCAGCTTGCCCTGTGGGGTGCCGGGGGAGCAGTGAATCGAGGTACTGATCATGTTTGTCTCAGACCATTTCAAACCTGCCTCCTGTTTGGGATTTTCCTGGGTTACCCTTTACTGATCTTTATTAAAAGCACCTAAAGCTGAGAATGTTTAACCTAAATCTTTGTCTTTAATTAACAACCTGTTCTGATCAATACTGAGCATATTAAGTTTTTTTCTTACAAATACCTTTTAAAACAATGGAGTTGCAAGCTATTTAATATCTGCTCTGGCCAGACTGCTAACAGGTGTTGTGCGTGGGTTTGCATGAGTTTGTGTTAGCCAAAAGTTCTACATTTCTGAGCATACAAATTAGCATATTATAATGCAGCCTCCAAAGGCTGTGGCTGGCTTCTAGTTACCACTTGGCATGAGTTCCTGCTCTCCTCATGTCAAGAGGTTGCAGAAAGGCATGTGCTCACTCAGTAGGCAAGCAAGCAAGTCGCCGCGGATCATGCCTGCGGGCAGCAGGGTGGGCAGCGGTTCTGGCCCTTGAGCAGATGACAGGACAGTCCATCCAGAGAGAAGAGGAAGTGCAAGTGATAGCCCTCAGGGGCCCTGCACAAAAGAGAGACAGGGAGGAGAGCTGGGCTATCTCGGATTGGAAAAGGAATCAGCGCGGTCCTTGTTCAGTTCTGACTCTGCAGTATTAGAGATACACTTTCAAAAGGTTCATTTTCTTAAGATAAAAGCAGGTTCTTGAGATCTAGCTTTTTGCTCACCCTACAAATTTTAATATTTTCTGAAGTTTTTTTACTGTTGCTTTAAATTCAAAAGGTGATTTTAAAATCTGAACACAGGACCACAGGGTGCCATTCAGGCTTGTGAAAATAGACACACAGACTCGTACTCTAAGGTACTGCAGCCTGAAAGGTCGGCATTGTGTTCTAACTGGGAGCTTCTAAATTGGTTGTCACCATGCTGGGAGAGCAACATGTGCTAGCGGGAGCCCCACTTCTGTCACCGCTCACTCTGCATTATGTATGAGTTGTGTTATGAGAGCAACTGTAATATTTCTGTTATACACCGCTGCATTTGTATTTAGCGAATTAAATTTACATCTAATCAGTTTATATTAAAGTAACTTAATGAGATGCTTCACTTCTCTGTGTTAAAAGCAGGTCAAGGCCAAACAAAAGACTCTGGGATGGCAGCTCGTTATTCAGTGCTCATTTTATCTTCCGGATGACTCATGCTTTAAGAAAATCAGTTAATAGCATTTCTTGTAACTATTTCCAATAATTCTTGAAAGCCAGACATTTCCTATTAATAAGTTGGCAAACTTGTTTTTTTCTTTCTTTCTTTCCTACTAATACAGAATGAATTCTCACATTGTTTAATTTTCAACATGGAGCATGACTGGGTCCAATTATTGATGAATGGAAAAACTCAAAAGATAAGGCAATGGGAGTGGTTGCTTGGACAGGGGATGTTGAGCTTTGAACCTTGGCTCTTTGAGAAATAGTCAATGAATGTACTGAATAGCAGCGCAGTAAGAACTACAGCCAGTGTGTTTATTTTCCTGCCCCCCGTGCCTGGAAGTGGTGTTCAGGGCCAACACAAGAAGGGCTGAGCTGTGTGTGGTGTGGACGCCGTGCTTCCCGCTCCACTGTGGGTGCTCTTGCCTGCTTCGCGCTCACCCGCCCTGCTGCCCCCACCTCTCACCTCGGCTGTCTCCAGATACCCCTTCTTCACTGTTTACCATGCACCCTCTCACACTCTGGGGACCCCAGGACTCCCCTGCATGTCCCAGCCGCAGCCCTGAGGAGGTGCCCTGGGCCTCGCCTGTGCCCTCCCTGGCTCTGCCCCACGCAGCCTGGCCTGCCTGAGCTGCTGGTGCTGCCTTCCGCTGTACGCCTCCGCTCGCGCCCACACAGTCCCCAGTCTCCAGCCCCTCAGGCCCTGCAGCTCCATCTTGGGTCTTCGGATCCCACCTTGCTGCCCCCCAGGTGGCCTTTAACCAAACTCTACAGAGAACCTCTGCTTTTGTCTTCTGGGTTATTTGTCCTGTTTTGTTTAATTTTGAAACAGGCTCTGGGCCTCATGCCAAATGCCTTATCTCACACACTGAAAATGCAGCCTCCCTGCTGACCCCCGTGTGTCTCTCATTCAGCTCCCTGCTGCCCCTGAGCCCGCCTGCACTCGGCTGGAGTCTGTCACCCTCAGCACCTGAGCCAGGCCAGCCTGACTGTCCCATGCAGAGTCCACCGCCCCTAGCGCTCCTCAGAAGGAGTCCGGAGCTTCCTCACCCATCCGCTACCTCACAGCAGAGGCACCGAGCATTGGCAGTGAGGGGACCGCTCACTGCCTCAGCACACCCTCTCCCTGAGTGGTGCCTCCCTTGCACCTCTTTCCCATGTGGCAGCCGGGGGGAAGTCTTGGGGTTCTAGATCAGACGCTCTTGTATTTGTATAAATCTTTCCTGGTCTATATTCTTCTACTGACACAGCATGAAACTGCAACTCCTCAGCGTTTCCTTTAGAGCACGCAAGACGTGGCCCTGCCTTACTCTCTGGACTGTCCTTGGTCCTTATGTGATAAAGCCATGCTCTCCCTCACATTCCCCTAAAACCTCCCCTCCCACACCACAGCCATTACCCTGCAGTGCTCTCCCTGCCCCTTGGGGAGCATCTCTCTGGGGTCACAGGCAGTCCCTGTCCCCGAAGAGCTGCCTGCGCCTGAGCAATGCGGGTGGATGGGCAGTGCTTTGCCAGGTGGCCTCTCTCCTGGCATAATGGGAGGGAGCTTTGCAGGATGAGTGGAAACTCAAGCAGCGCAGGGCTGGTCAGAAGCACGGACGCGAGCCACAGTGCTGGTTCCGATCCTGACTCTCACTGCTCACGACTCAGTACTCCCGTCCATCCTACGCTGTTCAGCCTCTCCGTTCTTTTCCGTTTCCTCCTGGGTTCGATGGGGTCATGATCATGCTTATCCACGAGGCATCTGCAGAGAGGAACTCATTGCTCTTTTTCAGTTTCATATGAGCCTGAGCTTACACTGAACAGCACACAGGTGCTTGCTCGCAGACACACTGGGGAGGCTGAGACAAGAGGATCACTACAAGTTCTAGCTGTGTAGTGAGACCCTGTTCCAAGTGAATAAATAAATAAATAGATTAATTAATAAAAGATTAAAAATGCTTGATTTCTCCTGGATCCTCGACAGGTGTCTTGTGTCACTTTCAAAGCTTGCATATATTCTGTGGTCTTTAATTCTTTTTTCGGGAGAGGGAACAGGTCAACAGGTTGAGACCTGGAAGTGGCTCCAGTCCCTAATTCATAAGCAGGGAAACCAAATGTGGGAAGGGGCCAGATCACCTGCAGGATGAGCCGGTGTGGGTGGAGCTGCCCGAGTCCAGACTGCGGACTGCAGACTCTGCCGTTCCCTTTGGAGAGGAAGCGATGGCGCGGGTCGAGCTGCCCGAGACACAGCTCCCATGAAGCCTGTGTGGCTGATCTTCATGGCATTTGGATGATTTCTTTCTCTTATCCCCTCCAGTTCAACAGCAACGCTCAGGATGTAAGCTGCTTTCAGCACCTTGTGCAAGCAAATGTAAGAAATAAGAAAGTGCTGAAAGATGCCGTGAACAACATCACTGCGAAAGGCATCACAGACTACAAGAAAGGCTTCAGCTTTGCTTTTGAACAGTTGCTTAATGTAAGTATCCTGTTGTGTCTCTTGTTTGTTACTGAGTTATGGTGTCTGCATTGACATGTCCTGAGGGTTATTTCTCTCCAGGGTTCAACGGCCATGCTCATTTTAACTTACTTAGAAACAATTAAACCAGGTGGACACAGGCAATGAAAATCTTTTTTCTCTCTATTTTTAAATTTAAAATTCAAAAAGTATGTACAGGGGGCTGGGGAGATGGCTCAGTAGAATAAGTGCTTCCCTGGCAAGCGCAAGGGTCTGAGTTCAATCCCTGGTTCTTGGGGGGAAAAAAAGTATGTACAGGATGTATTTTATTTTAGAGCTTTTATTTCCACATTTTCTTCAAATTCTGATTTGAAAACCTCATAAGCTAATGATGTGATTGACTTTTGAATAAGTACGCGAAATTCATTGGCCAACTAAGCATCTTGCTTTTTCCTCACCACAATTGCTGTGGGAGTTGTGTAGACACTTGGGCTTCTGGTCAGCCCGTGGGTACTTGAAATATTTTCATTTCAAATGGAAACTTCAGATCTTCAAGATTGTTTTTCCTAAATGAACAAAAACGTACAAATGGTAGAAATAAGGTAAACAGAAAGCAAAATCCCAGGGGCTGGGGAGATGACTCAGTAGAATAAGTGCTTGCCTGGCAAGCACAAGGGTCTGAGTTCAATCCCTGGTTCCACCAAAAAAAAAAAAAAAAAAAGCAAAATCCCAGAGCCGGAGGTCCCCTCAGCGATGGCGGCCCGTCCCCTGTGAAGACCTCACCTCTGCCCCTCCCTGACCTGCGCCACCACTACCCCAGCTTGTGTTGTGCTCCTCAAATCAAGGGCTACCACCAACTTGCTGTGGCCCAGTCCGCTGTCTCATTTTGAACTGCTCAAGAGCGGGAGCCAGGACTGCATCTCCTGTCTCCTGTGAGGTGCTGGTTGGTGTGGCAGTGTGGCAGCTGGGCTTCTCTGCACCTCAGCTTCCACCTGTCCCATGCATTCACCAAGACCTGGCCCTCAAAGTTGTGCCTGAGACTGGCCCTAGAACCTGCCCCGCAGCCAGCCACGAGGGCACGGGCATTGGGTTCCCCTGGATTCACAGTCTTTACTGCCATAGGAAAGGACTGGCCGCCTCTGTGGCAGAGGCAGCCTATAATTCTTGTCCTATCTGCTCTGTCACTGAATCAACAAACCCTTATATTTGGTCTTTATTAGAAATTTGACTTTGTTGATCCCTGATGGATTATTTTAGACCATCTGCTTCATTCATTTTTTACACACAGTATTTAGGTAGCGCCCCCAATTCCCTGCTGTGCTTGCGCTAAAACCAAAGAAGAAAACAAGGCTGCCTGAGTTCGGGGGGCCCAGCATCCCTCATCCCCAGCATCCCTCACCCCTAACCTCCCGATATAGCACAAAGGTGGTGCTTCCTTGGTCCAAGCTTTTGTGGAAGCAGCACAGAGGTGGGGCTCAGCTGCTCCCCTGAAAGTGGACTCGTGAAGAATGAGCAGTCCAGGGAGAGAGTCATCCTGAAGGAAGGGGTGGGGTAGCACCTCAGAGGTGCCCATCAGAAGCTGCAGGTTCTAAGGGGTGCAGGGGTGGGAATGAGTGGCAATGGTGTCAGGGAGGGTGATGGTGCTGGGACCCAGCAGGGGACTAGGGACACACAGCTCAGCTCAGATGGGCTGACTCAGATCTCATGACTCAACAGACACCACTGATCAAGCAAGGACAGAGACAGAAAGAAAGAGTCATTCAATATGGCTGCCTTCAGGGGAAGTTATCATTGGTGAAGGACCATGCTGGTGCGATGTTGTATGCTCAGTAACAAAAACTGAAAGCTTAAAGCTTCAGGCTTCAAATGTCCATTGACCTGGAGGTTGAGATGCATCTTCCCTTGATGAAAGGAGTGTGAGCTCTAATTTTTAATTACAGGTTTTCTTGAGTTAGTGATACATCTTCTATCCCTTGGCAACTGGAGTTATTCTTGCTCCTGATAGGTCCTTTGGCTCCTTTGCTCCTGCTTGGGGCTCCGGGGTCTCCAGCCCAGAGGGTGGCTTCAGGACCCCGGGTTCCTCGTCAGTTGATGAGGGAACAAGACCTAGCACCCCTGCCTACTCCACCCCACTCTCCACAGCTGTGCATTCTGGGTTGTTCTCTAGAGCTCCTGTGTTCTACCTCCTCTACATCCCATGAGTTTTGAATTTTTTATTTAAATAATTTCTGCAAACATGTCTTGCCTTAACTCAGAGTGAAAGCCTGCTTTGTCACTTCTTTTCAATGCTTGGGCTCATATTGCCCTGCAGCGCCACTCCCTGGCTTGTGTCTGACCTTGCATGGTCTGTCTTTGAAACCCCTTGAAACAGCTATCAAATAGAATTAGGCACTAAGTCCCAAGCTAACGTGTGAGTGAAGATTCACGTCTGTCTTCAGGTAGAATCTCATAAGATATTACCCAGTACATTGAGATGCAATTTTCAAAGCAATTTTTATTGTGTGCATACTTGATAGATACTGTGCTGTGCACTGGCCATGCGGGAATGCAACAGGAAGCCACGGCTTGTTCCAAAGTGCCCCGCTCAGATAAGCACCAGCTCTGCTAACTGTGATTTTTCTGGAAGCAATTAAGTTTTTTTTTTCTTTCTCTATCAAATTTGTTACAAGCCAGTTATGTTAATTATTGAGATTGTGTGTTTCCTTTCTTTTCTTTTTAAAAAATATATTCAAGATTTTTTGTTGTTTTTGTTTATTTATTTGCTTGTTTTGGCTGACTCAGCCTGCCCCAGGAGATCGAACCACAGTCCCCTGCCCCTGCCTAAGCTTACCTAAGCAGGTGCTTAGACCACTGAGCTATCTTGCCGGCCCTGTGTGTTGTGTACATAAGTGCAAACGCATGGGTAATTGTTGGGATATACGTTGCCCTACCACACATCCTGCAAAGCCTACTTCTAGGGAGAATCAATACTAAAAGCAGAATATTTCCGTAATTTTTCCATGTTAGAGATATTACTTAACATCTTTCCTAGGAAATGTTATTGTAATTTTATTTACTCACAAAACAAAATGATCAAGAGCTAGTGTATCAACTTACATTAACATTGGCATTCGGCAGTAATATTTCCATCGCTTCAATAAAACTTCACTTACGACACCACTCTCAGATACGAGTCCTTTCAATACATATTATTTTGACCATTTTATTGGTAGATAAATCATCAGAAATTAATTTGAATTAAAGACACCTGCAGGCGCCTTTACCATGCCTACTTGGAGGACACCGTATCCCACTTCCTGCAGAGTCAGTTCTGCAGATTGGTCATCTTGAATTGTCGGACCCGAGCTCCACTGCGAGGGTCATACTGTTCTGTGCTTGTGTTTCCGGAATGCCTCAGGCAGGGGCTGCCTTCGCGGCCAGACCCTTGGAGCCATCAGTGAGGTGAGCTTGTGCACAGCGAAGTCTTTTACAAGTAGAGCAGAATGTTGTCCTCATTCATTTTTATACCAGAAAGTGGCTTTACCTTCTTTGAAAAGTAAGAAGACAGGCCTTCAGTAAGCCCGCACACTAAAGTAGAACCAATGTTGTTCCAAAACTGAATCACATAAAGGCTAGGACTGTGCTGACCAATAATGGTAATCTCAATGGTACTGTACGTCACTGTGCAGTAATAGAGTCAAGGTTGATTGGAAGTGGGCTGTGGGTAAGTATAAAATACACCGTCAGGTTTGGAGAGTTCAAATGGAAGAAAATAAATGTATATTATCCCAGTAGCTTTTCTATTGATTTCAGGTTAAACTGATAATATTTTGGACAATAACTAGATTAAATGAAATACTGGAAATGATGATACTTATTACTTACTATACAATGGCTATTAGAAAGCTTAAAACTATATATTAAGCTCACATTAAATTTCTTTTCTAGCTCTGAAATAGAGGGTTGACATTTTCTGAGAAGCTGTGATTTGCAAATTTCTGTGACATGCTCTCAGCATTTAAAGAAATCCATTTAATGGCAGCAGGAAAACTGAGATTATAGTATCCTACCAGGGTTTAGCTTTATTTTTATTTTTTTATTTTTGCCTTTTTGAGATAGAATCTCATTATGCAGTTCAGGTTGCCTTTGAGCTTGCTTTGTAGCCCAGTGTGGTCTCGAACTTGCAGCGGTCTTCTTGCCTCAGCCTCCGAATGCTGGGATTACAGGCTGGGATTGCATGGTGCACGTCATGGCCTAACTTTGTAACTTGTGTATTTTCATAGCTTCTTGGTCCTAATTCATTGCTCTTCTGTATACAATTCCTTTTGGAAACTTTATAGTCTAAGGGGACTTATCCATGGAGTTGGGTCTTCTGGAGTGAGACTAGTGTGGAAGGCAGAGAGAGGACAGGATGGTGCTGTGGGGAGAGGGCCTGTTCCTCCAGGGCACCGGGAGGTTGCTGTGGGGAGCAGCCCTCCCAGGAAAGGAAAGGTGAGCAGAACAGGGTGAGTGAGCAGGCGCGAGAGAAGGAGTGTTTGGTTAGTGTGTGGAAAGGAAAGTGTATTCCTTTTTAACGCTGCTACTGTAGGCTACAAAGTTGTAAGGGCATAAAATTGATAGACCCGTTTATTACTTTAAAACTCGTTTACTGACCCATCAGGGAGAGGTTACTACATGCTCGGAGAGGTGTCGCCAGCAGGGTGACCGGGGTTCACGCTCCCGGAAGAAGCGGGCCGCAAGCTTCGGTGGTCCGGGTCGGGGCGCAGGCTGGCTGTGGGCGAGCGAGGCTGGTCCGAGCACCCGGCGCAGAGCGGGCTCCCCCTGGAGTAGCCCTCCGTGAGGCTCCTTCCTGCTGGCTTGCTTTCCCGTGCGTTACGAACGTTTCTTTCTTCAACAGTATAACGTTTCCCGAGCCAACTGCAACAAGATCATAATGCTGTTCACGGACGGAGGAGAAGAGAGAGCACAGGAGATATTTACCAAGTACAATAAAGACAAAAAAGTGAGTGCTGCGCGAGCGCATCTTAACACGAGTAACTGTGGAGCTTTGAAAGAGGCGGCGGGTGGTGGTGCGGGGGTAAGATTGCTTCCTAAAAACTCTAGTTCTCGGTACAAGTCTCACAAACTCTGCACTGGGGAGGGCAGCCTTTCCCTGCTATACGCAGCACCTCACGACTCACGCAGTATTCACGTAATCCGGCCAGTAGGATCTGTTTGATTCTCAGGTGTGGATTCTAAATACGAAAATGCCATAAGGGAATCAGACGAGGAATGGAAACGGAGGAACGACTTAAGCCTTTCCAGGCCGACACGCCATTTCGTATTGCAAATGCGGTGTCCTCTGAAGTCGCCGAGCACGATAAAGCCCGCATGCAAATCGTTGGCAGAAAGCAGTCTAGGAGGCGAGTGCCGGGTCTCAGCCGGTGAGCCCTTCAGAGGAAACCTTCCAGCAAGCAGTGTTTGATGGCTACAGTGCTGTGGAAGAACGCCTGCTGCCGCCTCAGAAGGCGAGGTGCGCGGTGAGGATGACTGTGTTCTGCACAGAATACGCTTGGGCGCTGCTTGTCTCCCCGCAAGAGGAAAGGAGCAGAGCAGAAGCTGAGAGGCGCTGCGCAGCGCGTCAGCTTCCGCAGTGACTTCAACTACTTTTTCTAGCTCTTCCTGGCAGCTTATTTCAGTTTCCTTCCTGAGACCACATTTTATAATCCACACGTGATTCACATGTAGCCTGCTTTCCAAAGTTGCTGAGGATCCACTAAAAAAAAAAAAAAAAAAAAAAAACCAATCCCCCCTAAAAAACTAATGAGAAATAATGCTCTATATCTTCTATTACAAAAAGACAGGGGCCAGGGAGACAGCTCAGCAGTCTAAGCACCTGCCTGGGAAGTGCAAGGACCCAGGTTCGATCTCCAGTACTGCTTGCCGAGCTGGCCCTGGAATCTTGGAAATGAGATCTGTAATCCAGTCTGCACTGCGTAGTGAGTCTCTGTACCAAATTTTTTTTTAAAGAAAAAAAAAGGCAAACCAAAATTGTGTATTTATCCACAAGAAAGCTGCAGAGACGCTCCCTGGCTCTTCTGACCCCTCCAGTCACTGTGCTTCAGCCCTGAACGTGCATTCTGCCGCCTCAGCCCTGCAGGTAAATGTCTGTGAGGTGCACCCACCCCAGCTTCTCTCTTTGCTTTGATCAGAGTTTCCACCTTTCAGAAAGCTGTGGCTCCTTGCTGGTTCTAGGGCTTGTGTTTGAGGGACTTCTAAGGATCACTTGAGCAGTTTGCAGGTGTCAGAAGCAGAAACATGAACTGGTATATTCAGACAGCTAGCAGAAAAGTATCGTGCATAAAGGCGCGAAGCTCTGGTAAGCGGATACTGCAGACACTGTGAAACACTCAGATGCTTTTTCACTTGCATATACTTGAAAGTAATCAAAGAATTGGATCCACTTCTGCATGTCTGGCTTTAAATAAACCTGCAGGCTTTTCCCACACTGAGTTCTTTGTGTACTGCACGTGCTGGATGCCATACTGTTCACGGCAGGCTCCTTCTTGAAGGCTGTTTATTTTAATGGCAGACAGGATCCTTCTTTTTTTTTGGTTTAAGTTGTTAAATAAACTGGGCTACTAGTAATAGATTATGATCACTTTCAAGTGCTAATTTCATTCTATAAATATATCTAGGAAATCAAATGAACCAAAAATAATAGCAAGATGCAGTTTTATTAAGACAAACTATAATTATATAATTCACATAGTAAGTGCCAACCGTTGTGGAAAATTCCGAGCAATCCTGACCACTTGAAGGAGGTCTTCGTGCCTCTCTCTCTCTCTTCTGACTTGCTTGGATGGTGGCTTCTGTTTCCACAGCAACTGCACGGAGCCCCCACGGTCTTCCCGTGCTCTTCCGGGAGTCTCTCCTCCGCCTCTCACGT